CTTTCTACCCCCTTTCCATCCCAAGCCACAGAGCCACAAGGCTGCCCAGTCCCCATCAGCACAGAGCAGACACCAGACAGCCTGCCCCAGCCGGCTCTGGAAGCTACAGAACCTGACAGGCCGTGCTGGACCATTCCTGCTCTGCCGGGCACCTGACCCTTGCGCCTCTCTGAAGTAAGTGGACTCTTGCCCAGGACTTGCCCCCACGACCTCCTCCTGCAGAGGCAGGCCAGCAGAAACACCTGCCTTTGTGGGGGTGGGGGGTTAATGCCTTTCCCAACACCCCAGGGACCACCAAAAGGTCCAGACTCCCCGTGGCTCTGCCAGCTCTGTGTCCCCTCTCAGCCAGCCTCTTTCCCCTGGGGACACCGCCATCGACCAGGGCTGGGACCCAGCAGCAGCCAGTAGGACCTGGACCCTCCCTGGCTCTTAGTAAGGAACACTTGCGCTATCTCAAAGTTGCTGTAAGAAAATAAATACAAGTGACATTGTACTGGGCCAAAGCTCATTAGTTCGTTGTCCAGGCCTAATAAAGGAACAGAAGCGCAAATTATAGAGTTCAGCTCCAACACACGCTCTGTCAGCCGAGATCAGCGGACCGCGAGCCTGATTCCAATTGCTCCGAACTTGCAGTGCAGTTCGCCCGCCCCCCACCATCCCCAGCTCATAAGCAGGAGGTTGGGTGGAAAAATATAGTTCCAAAGGGGGTAATGATCAAGGTTTTCCTCTCGGAAGCCTGCGCCACCTCATTTCCCATCAGTAATCCCAATAAAATTAACGTCGCGGCTGCAATTGAAAAGAGAAGGCCCCCGACACTCCTGAAATAACACACTCTCCCCCAGCAAAAGGTAAAAAGCAAAACGGCCCTTTGTTTGGCTAATTAACACAGCCCCAACTCCGAAAGCAGATGTGTTTGCTTAGCTAATCACAAGCATGTTTCTTGCAAGAAACGTCACTTGTAGGGGGTCGCTGGAGGGGGTTAGTGCTGATGGAAGGGGACATCACCCCTGGCCCTGCCTCCGTGGTCTCTCACCCCGACTGAAAGTCAGTGTTCATGGAGGCGGCCCTCTCCTCACACCTTACCCTAGAGGCCCTGCAGACACACACTGCTGAGATCCACCCAAGACCAGACCTGCAAGACTGGGGGTGGCGAGAGGACAGAAACAGGAAAAGTTGTAATGACACAGATGCCGTATTAAAGGAGGCAGTTTTACAGTTCACTTTGAATAGGACGCTAACTTATTACAAGAGTGTTATCAGAGGCCGATAAGATTTATAACTCCGAGTCAGCTTTGCGTCTTAATGACAATGGATGCTCTGGGGAGGGGGGGTGTTCTGTATTAGTCAAGTCCCTTCCCCTTGCTTTTCTGCTCAGGTTCAGATGTGCCCAGGGGGGCACAGACCATGCCCTTTGGGTGGCCACATGAAGGACGCCCCCTTTTCCCTCTGCAAGACATAGGGGATCTTGTTGTAGGGTTAGCAACTGGCTCCGCTGTGTAAAGAACATGCTTGGGAGAGACGAGAGCAAGCCAGAGCGACAGCAAGCCGATAGAGAGAGAGCAACCAGAAAGACCTGTGGGTGGAGGTGGGGTGGAGTTGGGCATCTCTGGTCCAGGCGTCACAGTCACCCATCTTCCCATTCCTCACACAAGATAGCTTTCCCCTAAACCAACACAGTAAGCAAACTTTAAAAAACTGGGGTCCTATTACAAACCAACGCCCAGCACTAACTGCTTTAAAATTACTGCATAATTAGATTTAGTTGAATTTCACCATTAATTAGGCAGCCGCGCTGCGGGGAGCCTTTGAAATCTGAGAAAATGGGAAAAATCATCTGAAGCACGTTTTTTAAACTTAACTTCAATAAATCTTGACGAGGCCTGGAATTCGGGCAGTACCTCGCTCCCCTCCCAGGCGGCTGAGAAAGACACGGGTCTCCGGGCCGGGGCCGGGGCTGGATGCCGAGGGCGAGTTCCCCGGCCCCAGTCGGCCGAGAGCCGGGCCCAGTCCTCGTCTGCCGCCCCTGCAGAGGCCCTCGCCAGCCCACCTCCTGCTCACACACAGCCCCGGGCTCCTCCGCCGCGCAGCCCACGGGGCTTGCACGGGTCTCCTGGGCCTACGGCCACCAGCCTGGGGCCGGCCCTCGGAGAGCGCTCGCCCCCACCCCACCCGGTCTGCAGACCCGAGCGGCAAGTCCGGCCCCCTTCCTCGCGGGGTCGGCAGCGCCCCCACCTCCTGCACTGGCCGGGGTCCGGAAGGGCTGGCTTTGCTCCCTACCCACTACCTACACCGCGCCAACACTTGGAGGTCGGAGGCGAACTCTGAGTCCTCTCGCTAGGTTTCGGGAATGGGGGAGAGGAGACCCACTCCAGGGGACCCAAGCTGGGCAGGGGGCGGGGGACCAGGGCAACGCGCGGTGCCAATCTCACCCCTTCCACTAGGGCTGCTTTAATTACAGAATCACCCGGGGCCGCGCTCCGGAGCGCAGGGTTTTCCGCCCGCAGACGCAGTGGCCTTCGGCACCCCTGCCCCACTCCCTCCCCTTTTTAGCCTTCTCGGTCACCAATGTGTTTCCCATTACCCGGCCCTGCCGAGCCTGGCAGCCGGCGCTAGCGGTGCGGTGGGAGACGCCATGTTGGCTGCGCTCAAGCACCGAGGCCACGGCGAGCACCCGGGCCACGCGAGCACCGGGCCACGCGAGCACCCGGGCCACGGCGAGCACCCCGGCCACGGCGAGCTCCGCTTCTCCCGCTCGGCCCCGGCCGCCGCCCCGCACCCCCGCTTCCCGCGCCGCCCGGGGCTGCAGCTCCGCGCGCCCGGCGCCCCGCACCGGCCCTAGGGCGCGCGCTTCCCGCCCCGGCTGCCCAGTCCCGGCCCGCCCGCCCGGAGCCGCTGCCCCCGGCGGCCCTGCGAGGGCTGCGCCGCGAGGCCCGGCAGGGCGAGCGCCAGGCGCGCGAACCCTCCTGCCCCGGCTGTGTGTGCCAGTGGCCCGCAGCGGCGGGCGCCTCTCTCTCTCTGCCTCTCGGCTCCCACTATTGTTGCCTTCCGCGTCTAACTGGGCTCTGTCACACCCCAGAGCGCCGAGGGGGAGGAGGGGAGCCGGGCTGGGAAAAGAAATCAAGCGAGCAGTGATCAGCTGGAAGGAGAAGGAGAGAGAGAGAGGGAGAAAAGCAGTGAGGAAAAAGAGACACTTAAAGGGAAAGAGTCGCCATGTTTAGCAGCTTTTTTTTTTTCTTTAAAGATCTCGTCAATTTCACACAGAACGCACTCCCTGGGTCCCAGCCCTCGCCTTTTGTCCAATTCAGTCGCAGCAAAGATCTTTTGTTCTAACTCAGCGTGAAAAGAAAAACTTTCTTTAAATGCAATAAACTTAAACCGAATTCAAGACTCTAAACAGATCCTCCTCCAGTCACTCTAAACATATACAAGGGGTTTTGTTTTAACCGTTTGGAAAATTTTGAGCCCTGCTTTGCTCCCTGCTTTCCAGGCCCGTCGCTCGTTGCTGAAACTCAGGCGCAGGGAGTTTCAACGCCTAGACCGCATGTTTAAAGGCGTAATAAAACAGGGACTGTCTTTTTGCTTTGAAAATCATAAATTATAATTTAATGCCAATAATAATTTACAACAAATGGCTGTTTACAATCAACTAAGACAAAACAAACAAGAGAAAGGACCGGTGTTGTACTTAGTGGGGAACCTTCCCACTCGCAAGGATGGTGCTCGCAAGAGCAGAAGAAAATAAAACAGCCAGCCACTGCTACAACCTCGACCCACAGGTCAGCGGCCCGGGCGAGCACCCTCTCAGCAGGTTAAGGTAGCCCTGCCCACAGAGCGAGCTGAAGGTCAGCCGCAGGAGGCAGAGTTTGCAAGTCTCCCTGCATGGGCTGCAAGTGAGTACCAAAGTTTGCAATACACTTCATAAAATGATTTCCTCCCTGCCGCCCCCCTCAGCAGCCCTCCCCGCTAGCAGAACTCAACCACAACACTGTGGGTGAAGCATTTTGAGAGGGACAGCCTGGAACACATCTCTTTAAGAATCCAAATTGCAAGCTCCCAGCTCAGAGCTTCCTCCAAATCAGGAAAAAAAAAGTAGCAGGGGGTGGGGGGGGGTGAAGACTGAAACAGCTAGTTACTACTTGCAAATCAGCACAACCTGCAAAGTTCTCTCTCTCCTCTCTCTCCTCTCTCTCTCTCTCCTCTCTCTCTCTCTCTCTGCTTTTTCTTAATTAGGCTTCCAAGCACAAAGGATCCCAAGAGCAGCACAGATTGTATCTACACAATCGGATATGTCCAAACGTCCGTGTGTTTCTCTGGACGCAACTTCCATGGAGAAGCAGTCCCTTGCCCAGTGCTCCTGCCCTCCCAGAATGGAGGCGAGGGGGAGGGGAGAGGCAGCCCCACCGCCAGGCCCGGGGACAGACCCCGCACTGCTGCACTGCTCTGTCACCCTGGCTGTGGAATCCTCTCCCAACTACACGAGAGGAGAACCACGCAGTATTTTTAAAACTCACACCTACTTAAGGAGTAAACCTCACTGCAAACAACTGCCCTCTGTTTACAAGGCTGCGAGTAGCCTGCTGGAGCAATGTTCTGCACAACTGTCAGAAATGTACAAAAGGCTATTTTTTTTCTGATCATAAAATAGATACTGATCTTAAGATTTCTAATACCTTTCACAATACGTTCCCTAAGCAGGCACTTAAGTGTGACAAATATAAGGGCCTTTTTTTTTTCTTTCTCCTGGAAAATCCATTTTTAATTAAAAGGAGGATTAGGTGAATTGGGGTGGTTTACTATATCAGTATGGTACTTCCTAAACCATAGATAAACCATTAACTTTAGCTTCCCACCCCCCAACACACACTCCCAAATTAAACAGGCAAACACACTAGTCCACCTTTGAACAAACTGACTAAACAAATGCAGACCCCCGGCCCAGCTCAGCGAGAGCTTTAAAAGGGCTCTTGTCGAAGCACAGTGACTGGGGACAGCAAAACAGGTTTCAGATATCAAATAATATTTTAATTTCTGAATACTTTCAATTTCCTTGGAATATAACACACAAAGACTCGACCAAACAGTTCAGTTATTATAACTTTTACAGTATACAGAAATGTTGCACTTAAAAAAAAAAAAACCTTCAGTTTTTTTAAAACACAAACTGTAAACTCTAAGATACTGAACCAATCACGTTCACCTACAAGTGCCAACAGTGTTATTTTGTCATGCTGATTTCAATGGTATTTTTTAAAAAGGGAAAATATCAACAATTATAATACAAAGGGCTTGCAAATATACAAACAGAGGAGTCTCAATAGCAGTTCAAGAACTAAGCGGGACCCAATTCAAATTACAAAAGTTCACTTTTTATTCAAAACCTCAGCATGTGTCTTGGACACATTCCTTGGCTGCCAATAAATTCCACAGTTCATTCTCTTTCTTAAAATATGTTTAAAAAGCTAGGTTTGTCATTGTGTCTCTGCGGGGGAGGGGTGGGCTGGGGGAAGTTAAGTGTTGCTTGTGGTTCTTCCCGTTCACTAATTAAGAGTGCTCAACTTCACCTAACATTTTTGGTCACCACTTGTAAGTGCGTTTCCATCATCTTTGAGTTGCCTTTTAAAAGTTTTATGTCTTCCTATGATATTTTCATGGACTCAGTTTTAATTCTTGCAGAACATATACTTTAATGATACACAGTTTTTAAGAAGCCAAGATTATATCAAAACTTATTATAGAACCACAGAATAAACTGGTTTGGAACCAGAAAAATACAAAAAAAGAACAGCTAGAGGTACATAGACACAGGACAATTAATAATTTGGAAAAAAAAAAAGACTTACTTTCTCCATTCTGCTAATTTTCTCCCAATCTCCTTAAATGCACTTTTAGTAATATTTTTCAAAAAATTTACCAAAAAAAGAAAAGACTAATTTCCTTTTTATACAAAAATGATAAGTAGCAAGTTGTTCTGACCGACACAGGAGTTTTTTTTTTTTTTTAATGCATTCTGTAAAAGTTCATTTGACAGTCTTTTTTTTTGGAAATTCACAGTCCATTAAATTCTTCCCCTCTCTTCTTTTAGCAAACATGCAACATCCTTTTATATCCTTTCTTAACAGAAGGAAATTAAGCAAACAAACCAGTCTTTTGCCTTTTCTTTCTCTGCTTTACTCTCCCTTCTCATTTTGATTTATTTATTTATTGAATTGCCATATAGGGCCAGTTAAAACTGCTGCCGGACAGTAACATATCCCGGATGAGGGTCTCAATCGGGGTTTTACCTACCAAACGGACGAAAAACAATTGCTCTATGACTGAGGAGGAGACGGTGCGCAGGGAAGGCAGTCGGAGCAAAAGCTTCCCGAACCGCGTTGGCTGGTTGGGGTACTGGCTCCTAACGTATTCTTCCAAAGCACACTGGGATTTTTCCTGCAAGCTTTCCACATGGGCTACATCAGACAGACCACAGGCATCTGGAAGAGAGTTAAAAAAAAAAAAAAAAAGAAGAGGAAGAGGAAGATTTCAGTCATCAGATTAAGAGGTTTGAAATGGGTCACATGAGGTGTGTGCTCTTGGTCAACTTGCCCCAACCGGAGACTGAGCAAGTGCCTAGGGACTGAAGCGTGCTGCTGGTGCTGGAGGTAGAGTGAGTCAGGGACCATCGTGCGGGGGGGGCGGGGGGCTGCAAATCCAGCACATCTTCCTCTGCTGCAGTCCTCAGGCTGGTCAACCAAAAGGCCCAAGCAAAAGTGCATTGAGTCTTTCTGGCCCAAGTCAGTAAACAGACAAAACAGATAAAACCCAAACCGCCAAGCTCCTCCCCCTCCTCCTCTGTAAATAATAGTTTGGCCCATAATTATATAGTGTGGTGGTGGTTGGGGGGGCAGGCAATAACCTGGCCCAGCACCGAGTAATGGCGTTTGCGACCCAGCCGCAGATTCTCCCCAAATAGGGCGACTCATTTTTCTTCAGTCTTTGAAACTGATTTAAGTGGCCCTTTAAAACTGATCTTGTCAGTTTAGCCTATTGAAAGGCAGCCATGCAAGCTGTGATCTCTCTGTTCATTTGAGCTGTTTCTTTCCCCCCCTTTCTTCTCTCTTTTTCTCCCACCCCCTTTAGTATTATTATTTTTTTAAAACCCAGGTCCCTCCAAGAAGCACCCCCCCCCCCGTTATCTTCTGGAAAACACTTTTCTTTTTCTGATAGGTGAAAAAAAAAATACAATAAGTGTCTTTGAAATGAGAGGCTTCTTAGCGAAGGCGGTTCAGGTTGTGACCTGACCTCTCGGGGCTCCCCAGACAAGACTGGGGTTAACACACGCATACTGTGAATCATTAAAACAGATATTCCAAAACAGCCACTTCCACCCCAAGAACACGATGCGAGCCTCTGCATGTGTGCCTCCTGCTGCAGCATGCAGAGGTGTCCGGGCCATCAGAAGGTCTCCCTGCTCTGCACTCCTTCCCTGCCCATCCGAATCAGATAACAAGGACCTTTCTCGCCTCCTCAGGCGATTTGCATTCTGCACACAGACCTCCACACTTTGCAAATAGTAATAAATTAAACTGCTACGACAGTATCAGGCATTTTTTCCCTTCCAACACCAAGGGCAAGGCTTGGAGCTAACAATGATACCCAGAAATTGAGCCACCCCTTTCCCCTCCATCCCAAACCCTGGGCTGGCTGGCAGCTTATGCACGAAGGGGATGGGGGTGGCTGTGGGGCAGGGGGCCAGCCAGCATGCCCTCTGGCATCAGGCAGGCATTCTAGATGTCACAGGCTTGCCAGAAAAACCCATCCAGGTCCAACCCCTGTGGGTGGCTCCTGTCCACCCAGCCCCGGCTCTATATGGACTTCAGAAAGCAGCATTTGGGTAGCTGGGGGGGGGGGGCTCCTATGTGAAAAGTGGCAAGCTCTACCAAGGCACAGGCTGGAGACAGAGCAGAACCTGCAGCTGCCACAGACTCAGCTGAGGACTTTAGGACCCCAGACTTCTTGCAGACACAGAGGAAGGCTCTATGGGCCTCCTTTTTGTTAATCACAGAAACTGTACATCTCTCCTGGTTTGCTGATTACACAAGCTGACACCAAGTGCAGCAGGCAACCAGCTTCCAACCCCCTTGCCAATGCCCAAACCTTTGCTATTCTTAATTGGGAGCCCCTTTCCCCTTGCAACCATGACAAAGGGATCAGCTGACAACTTATACAAGTGTGTGTGTGTGTGTGTGTGTGTGTGTGTGGAGTGATGTTGCTGCTGGCTGGGGGAGGGTGCAATTCCCGTGCACCTGTCTTTGCTGAGCCCTGCCTGAAGGCAGCCAAAGGCTCAGGCGTGGCCTGGAATGGAAAACCAGCCACCTTCAGAAATCATCTGGCCTCAAGAGTTCATTAATATCACATCTATTACTCACACAGGTTAAACTACATGCAAACTAATTAGATTTCATAATGCAGTCAATGATGGTTTTACATCGCCAGCAACACTCCTCCAGCCCGAGTTGGCGTGCACTTCGGGTTGCCTGAAGGTTGCCTGGTGTGTGCTGGGCGGGCCAGGGCAGGAGGGAGCCTCTGCTTCTGCTCTCACCTGACAGTGGTCGTGGTGGCCTTGCCCCCCTTCCCCAGCAATCGGTGCCCTCAGGTAGGTGGCCTCTGCCTGCAGTGCCCACTCAAACTTTTTCCCTTCTGCAGGCTGCTCCCCTGCCCCTTGGGGCATCTCCAGGAGGCTCCAGGGAAAAAAGCCAGGATGGAGGGAACACGCCTAGGACCTGGGACTCAGAGAGAGGAGAGCATGTCCCAGCCAGGCCAGGGGAAGAGAAGGAGCATCTGGAGACAGTGCTGCGGACCCTCTGGGGAGTCTGCTCCCAGCTGCCTTCCTGCAGCCCAACCACCTTCTCTGCCCAGGCCAGGCCTAGCCTTCCAGGCAGCAGCACCCAGTCCCCTCCTCAGGCTCCATTCAACAGTGTGACCTGCGCAGGGCGGTGGAGGGCTGGACGAGCCCTGGGGGACTGCTAATTCTCTGGGCCCCAAGGACCCCCAGCATGCCAGCACAGGCTTCTGCATACCTGAGGTGAACAGGACTATGGCCTTGAGGCAGCTGTACTCGGCCGAGTCGACGTGCAGCGCCTTGAGCTTCTCCACTTGCTCTTGGAAGATCCGTATGTGGTCCATAAAGGCGACCACCCGGTCGGCCGACATGGGCGAGGCGTGCAGGCCGGCGGCGGCCAGGAGTGGGGCAACGTGCAGGGGCATGGAGCACTGGGCCGCATTCAACACGAACAGCTCGCTCCAGGTGAGGCGAAGCAGGGCCACCTGGTCCGTGATCTGCAGGTCGGGGAAGAAGGGGATGTTCCGGGCCCACTCGACGGCGCTGAAGAGCATCCTCGCGGCCAGTTCGCAAATGTTCTCGATGCCCATGATGTTGTTGGGCTGCATGCACTGGCTGCCGAAGCGCGACGTGGGGTAGGGCTCGGCGCGCAGCAGCAGGGAGATATATCCGGACAGGTACGAATGGCAGTTGAGGGGATCCCCGTTGGTCAGCGCGAACTGGCCATGGGTCGGCTGGGTGGGCGGCATCCTGCCTCGCTGTACCGCTGCGGGAGGAAAGGAGACCACAGTTAGTGACCGGGCTAGGCCCCCCGGGGTTCCCTCTCCCCTCCCCCCAAGATCTGAAACCGGCCTGACACTCAGCCTGACCCCAGACCCCAGCAGCGCCAAGCACCAAAACACAGGCCTGCTGGAGCGGCCCCGAGCAAGGCGGCTCTGGGCTCGGTTCGCCACCCAGGCTCGCTCCGGCCGCCACAGTCGCGCACTTGCCTCCGAGGCCTGCCCGGGGCTGGTAGGCCGAGGACCCGGAATTGGCCACCTCGCCTGGGGCGGGGGTCCCCGCTCTGTGGGCGGGATGAGGCATTCTGGGGGCATCTTTCTTCTTTACTGCTAAACAGCTGATATTTCTTATTGATTGGAGGAGAGGGAACGGGAGGGGCGTCTTGGAGTTGGGGGTGGGGAGGCAGACTAGACGCGTTTGCAGAAGAAACAAGGGCTCGCAGGGGGACGGCCAGTGGCCACCCCGGAGCGACCCTTCCCAAGCCCCTCGGCTCCAGCCGCAGCCAGGCGGGGAACCCCCGCTGAGCGGCGCGCGGGGGGAGCCCTGCTAGCTCCCAGAAAGCAGCCGCAGGGAGAGGGCGGGGAGAGAGAGAGAGAGAGAGCTTGGAGAGAGGAGAGAGAGGCCGGTGGAGGCTTGAGGAAGCCGGGCAGAGGGAGCAGGCGGCCGGCGCGGGCGCAGCGCGGGCAGGAAGGGCCGCGGGGTCGGAGAGAGCCAGCTCTCCTGGCCTCCGCTCGGCGGCTGCTGCTGCTGCTATGTGACTCCGGACCGGGAGAGTCGCTCTCGCAGAAACACAAAGGAAGCCCGGCGCCGGCTCCACTCGGCCCGGCCCGGAGCCCGCGCCCGGCGCCGAGCGCGCCATTGGCGGCGCCCTGCTCTCGGCGCTCGCCCACTGCACATCACAAAGACCCGAGCCGCGCGGGGCGCGAGCGGCCGCCCCTCGCCCACCCTCGCCTACGCCCCGTCGCGCTCCACGTTTCAAAAGTGAAAGGGGAAAAAAAGAAAAAAGAAAACAAAGTATTATTTTTTCTCCAACAGAACGTTAATCCACGGAGGGTCACTTGAGAGCGCTGCCCGAGCGGCAGCGTTAATACGGCGAAGTGCATAAAATTGCCATTTGTAATTTGAACCTCCTGTGCAAAAGTACAATCTCAGGTTGTTTTTTTTTTTTTTTTGAGAGGGTGGGGGCTGGGGAGAGGGGATGGGAGGAGGGACATATGTTGAACATGCAGGAAAAACAAGGGGGAGAGAGTGTGCAAGAAGTAAAGCAGGTTTTAAAACACCACTACCACCACTACCACCACAAGCATCACCACCACCACCACCCGAGCCTCGCAGAGAGGCCGGCTCGAGCAAACTTGCGGTCAGTGTGAAGGAAATGAGCAGGGCCCGAAGGGGGTGGGGGAGAGGGAGAGAGAGACAGAGAGAGAGAGAGAAAGAGAGAGAGACTCGGTCGGCCCCTGCCTGTGGCTGTAGGGCGCGGGTTCCACTGCAGAACGCGCAGCTCCGGAGCTCTGGCTCAGCGTGGTGACCCCGCGCAGGGCCCACGACCCCGGGGAAGGGGAGAGAGGAGAGGCCGATACCTTCCCGTCTCATGCCCACTTTGAGGCACTTTTTGAGGCGGCAGTACTGGCACTGGTTGCGGTGGTGCTGGTCGATCGGACAGTTCCGGTTGGCGCGGCACGTGTAGCTCAGGTTCCTCCGCACGCTGCGCTTGAAGAAGCTCTTGCAGCCCTCGCACGTGAACTGGCCGTAGTGCTTGCCGCTGGACTTGTCCCCGCACACCACGCACTCGATGTGCTGCTGCTGCTGCTGCTTGTCGCCGCCCGGGCCGCCGGGGCCGCCCTGGCCGCCGGCCGCCGTCTGGGCCGGCGTGCTGGCCGGGCCCCCCTGGCCGGGCGTCTGCGGCGTGTGCGGGGCGCCGGGCGGCGGGCCGGGCACGGGCGGCGCCTGCGAGGCCTGGCTGCCCTGAGAGCCGGGCACCTCGTCCTGGGGGTCGCGCCACGTGCTGACTACCATTGCCATATCTATGGGGGCCGCGTCCGGACTTCCTGCTCCCCTGGCTGCGGGTGGCGGCGGCGGGGCGGCGGTGGCGGCGGCAGCGGTGGCGGCGGCGGCTCCCGGGTCTCGGGCTCCTGCGCGCCGCCTTTTGTGTGTGCGAGGGTGCGAGAGGGCGCGGGAGGGCGCCCCGGGTGCCTCGGGGCTAGTTGGTGGAGGTTGGTGAGTTTTTCCTTTTTTGTTTTTGCTTTTGCAAAGTTGTGTCGATTGGTTGTCTGGCCCGGTGTGTTTGTTTTGTTTGTTTCCCTCGGCTCAGCTTGGTCGGTTTTGGGGGGCTTTCCGCCGGGAGGGGAGGGGAAGGGGGACCGGGGAGAGAGCGAGCGGGAGCAGAGCGTGGAGACAGGGAGGGGAGGGAGAGCTGCGAGTCGATTGTCTGGCTTCAAGACAGAAGTAGGAGGCAAAAAAAAAAAAAATCTCTCCAAAGATCTCGCTCGCTCGCTCTCCCTCCCTCTCTCGTCCACTCTCGCTCTCAGAGCTGGTGTGCAGCCCAGGAGGAGTCGGAGCAGGAGGAGGAGGAGGACGAGGAGGTGGCGGCGGAGGAGAGAGGACTGTCCGGGGGCCAAGTCCAGGGCAGCCCACAGTCAGCCATTCAGGAAAGCCATCGAAATCGGGAGGACGGCGAGAGCGGACGCGCCCAGGGAGCCGGGCAGGCCGGGGCGGAGGCCAGCGGCCCGCAGAGTGGCCGGAGCGCTGCCCGGGTCCGGGGGAATCAGCATGAAAGTGGTCCGCGTCGGGCGCCGCGCGGCGTCGTCCCGGCGCTGGGCCCGCCGCCGCGCCTCCGCCGCCCGGCCCGGGCGCCCGCCGCGCGCCTCGCTCTCCGGGGCCGCCGCCCGCTGTGGCCGGCCCGAGGCCGCCGCCGCCGCCGCCGCCGCTCCCCGCGGGGCCGGCCGGGCCGCCGCCGCCGCCGAAGCCGCCGGGTCGGGCCCGGAGCCGCCGCCGCCGGAGCCGCCGGGTCTAGCGCCGCCGCCGCCGCTCCAGTCGCCGCTGCTGCCGCTGCTGCCGCCGCCGGAGCCGCCGCTGCTGCCGCTGCTGCCGCCGCCGCCGCACGCGCATAGGGAACGAGTCAGCTCGCCGGCGGCGGGGGAGAAGGCTCGGCAAGGAGGGCAGCCCGGCACCTAGAAGCGCATCCTCGGTGCGCGCAGGGGAGAGAGACGGAGAGGGAGAATGAAAGAGGGGAAGAGGCAGCGCGGCAGCCGGAGAAAGGAGGCAACTCGGGGAGAGGAGGAGGAGGAGGAGAAAACACACGCGCGCACGCACACACACACACCGCGGAGAGAAAAGAACAGAGCATCAAAGTGATCAAATATGCTAAAAAGGGGGGCGCGGGAGGGAATGCGATTTATAGGCGCCGGGGCTGGCAGAAGTGGCTTCTCCGCGATCGGCTCACCGAGCTCTCTATATAGTGAACTTTGACACGACTGCTGCAACTTAGCGCACGTTGCCATGGCGACGGCGCGCCTTATAAGGCAGCCGCCGGGGTTGGCCTGGCCAGGCGCGCGCGCGCCGCCCCCTCGCCGTCATTGGCCGGAGCGCCATGGCGGCCGCGGGCGCAGCCCGGTCCTAGCGCGAGCGGCGTGGCGGCGGCGCGGGGCGCGGGGCGCGGGTGCGGGCTGGGGGCGGGGCGCGGGGCGCGGGGGGAGGGGGCCGCGTGCGCCCGCCGGCCCCGGGGAGCGCGCCCCCCGTGCCCGCACCCCCCGTGCCCGCACCCCAGCTTCGGCCGCGGCGGGGAGCGGCGCGCACACACACGCGCGCACACACATGCACACACGCGCGCACACACACACACACACGCACACACACACACGACGCCTCTTAAAGGCTCCGCTTGCCGCTCGCCAGGGAAGCGAGCGGGGACTTCGCCTCTCGCAACTTGGCGCAGCCCCCGAGCCCGCTGCCCGCGCGCGCACCGCCGGGGACTGGCGCAGCCCGCTGGCCCACCGCGCGCAACGCCCAGCAAAGTTCCCGCGGCTGCTCGGTGGCAGAGGGGCGGCGGCGGGGAGCCGCAAGGTGCCGGAGCCCAGCACGCGGGCACTGCCCCAGACCCGGGCTTTGGCCAAACCCGGGAGGTGGCAGAGCCCTCTGGCTGGCTGGGTCAGGCGGCCCTTTCCCACCCCGCCCCCCCCGAGAGGGGGTGGGGAAGCCCTTTACTGGCTGGTCTGGCCAGGGCTAACATTTCCTGGGTAGGTGGCCTGACGTTGAATCGCTCGAGTTAAGCATCTTGGATGCTGAGAGAAGCACAAGGAGACTACATCTCATTGTCATGACGCAATTACAATCAATTTCCGCCAACTTTATCCTCCTCTCTTAGGTCTTTGCAAACTCCGAAGTCCCGGTCCCGCCAGCCCCGGCCGCAGTGCTCCGAGGAAAGAGCGCTCGGCCGGCTGACGGACAGGCGGGGGTGGCCGCAGCCCGGCCGCGCACACAGGCGTGTCGGCGCACAGGCATCGGATGCACATTTGTCAATGTACGCAGACAAAGAATTGGGCGACTGGGTTCCTGCGTCCTAGAACAGTTGAGGAGGGACCTCATTGTTCTGCAAGTCCCCGTTAAGCATTCATACAGTCGTGAAAACACACCCAGAGATTCTGCCCCACATTGGAAATCACACCAGCTCCAGCTCACCACACAAACCACACGCGTAACAAGCCACCTTCTCCCTCAGGAGTCTGCCTATGACATGGACAACTTCAGCGTCTGCTCCATGTGCGAAAGCCACCGAGCTGGCCCCCGAGTGCAAGGCGTGTTGGCTTACAACCTCAGATAGCTCCCTGGAACGCACCACAGCTTCCCATGCCTTTTCGTGAGCTGCCGTTCTTCCACGTTTATACCAGAAAATTATGTTTCCGCCAGACACACTTTGCAATCAAGAAAAACTGTATGCCGCCAAGCCAACCAGGTTTATGGACAATTAAAACATTTAACACAAAAGACGCTGAGCTCTGGGGAAAGCATGAGCACTTATGAAGAGGAAATGGACGACTGCGGAAAGGCATCCCTGGTAGCTCGAAAAATTGGTGAGATAAGGTATTTTAAAAAAGAAACTCTGCGTTTAATTGACATGTGTAGATTGCAGTTTGTGTTCGATTCCCTTCGCACACATAGAGGCAAAACAGGAGGTCAGAGCTAAGTGGAGGGGTGAGCAGCGAGGGCTGGCGTTTTAGGGACAGGGCAATTCTGCGTCAGCCCCTCTCCCGAAACCAGCTTGCTCGACCCTCCGTCTCGCTGCGAGGCGTTGGCAGAGTTCACAGAAGCTGTAGGTGTTGGGATTATTTGAAAGTTGTAAACACACACACACACACCAAACCGACCACCACCCAGGAGCCTGTAGTCCGCCGTGGACCAAGATAAACCTGAGCTATTAAACATCAGAGCGAAGCTGGACTCAAAAACTTGAGGTTGATTAGAGACACAGTGTAATTTTCTCTTAAAGAAGACAAGAGGGATGGAAAAGAAATCATTTCTAAGGGACAGGTTTGAGATCCCAGCCCCCCTTCAATCTCTGTGATTCGAGCAATTGCCTAATTCCACATATGTCAGTAGATTAAGGGCAAACAGCCTAGATACAGTGGGACTGCAATTGAGATAGGAAATCTAATGGGTATTCTCATCTCAATTTAATAGAAGATGAGAATAATTGATTATAGGGAAATCTTAATCTTGTCTCCTGAGTGCGGGGCCGTCCACGGCAACATGTTCATCTTTTATTAAAAAAAAAAAAAAAAAAAAAGAAAGAAAGAAAGAGAAAAGGAGGCTCGTGGTCCCCAGGCCAGGCAGAGATTTTTTGGAATCTGAAGTTCGCTCTGCTGGCCTTCGATTGAAAATAGAGAGCTTCCCAGCAGCTTTCCTGTGAAATTGGAGCCTGCCAGGCACACGACCGCAGGGCTGCCCTCAAGTCAGAGGTGTTTCTGAATTTTTGAGACTCATTCAGTTATGGAAGTGCTGTCAGGTTAAAGAAATCACTATATGAACTGTAGTTAATATTACTGTGCAGTAGACACAGGGACAGCAGACTAGGAAGAAAAAAGAAGCAAAAAAAAAAAATGTTTTTAAAGGTCTTCCTCAGAGATGCTTACTCGCCTGGACGCCAAGATTAAAAAGCTCAAACACTAACCAATATATATCAATATATTGTTCTTTTCTTTAAAAAAAAAAAAAGAAAAATTCAGGCCAGGCTTTTATTGCAGATGTAAATTTATTTTAATGAGAGGAATGGCAAGCTTTAATTTGGCTGGAGAAAGCTGGAATAGCATTTCTCTTAATCTGGGCAGACAAACACACACGCAGGAGTATGATTTTCTTGCAGAAAGCGGCTGGATGGGTTGTAATTCTTTACAGATTAAGTCACACTGTGAATACAGAACCCAGCAAATGCCGAGTTTAACTCTGAACTCGGGGGAAGCCAGTTCTGTGCACCAGGACTCATTGAATTCCTCCTTTCCTTCAATCTAGTCCCTGTGTGTTTTTCTCTTCCACCACACTGACGCTCCATGAATAGGGAAAGGGGCTTCCATTGTGTCCCTCTGAACTTCCAAGTCAATGCAATTTTTAACCACTGGCTAGTGGTACTTTGAAAATCACCAGGGGCTGTCAGAGTTGGGGCCTCTGAAAAATTTACAGTGCTAAATCAGAGCATATGCTGGGAGGGAAAAAATTGCTGAAGATTGCAGCTAGTACAGTATCTGTCTGCCCCCTAGTGTAAGAGTCCTCGCCGCCTAAAATTCAACTTTAAAAGAAAGCGAGCTCTTAAAGGGAAACGACTTTGGGCTCACGTAGACACTGCAGAATGAAACTTCTGTACATTTAATCTGAATTATTCTCCGGGATTTAAAATTAATTGGCTTTGGCGTGGTTGGACTGTACTCGGATCTCTCCACCTCTGCGTTTCCCGAGTCACTGGTGAAGAGGTGATGATTTTTTTTTTTTTTTGAACTGGGTTTCTGTGCGTCCCCCTCACCCCCTCCTCTCTTTTTTCTTTCTCTCTGTCTCTGGCGTCTCTCTCCCTGGCTTTTTAAAAATGAGAGACCGTTCCCTGAACGCTCTGGACAGAGCACAGCAATGCTTCTTAAGCCAGCCCGGCGCGGTTGCAATAGACAGCCAAAAGTTAAACGTTTGCCTGAAATCCGCACGCCAGCTCCGCCACCCCGCCGGATGGTGAGTACCCCGTCTCGTCGCGGTTCTCCTGGCTTAGCCGGGCGCTCGCCTCCCCAACCGGCGGCCGAGGACGCCGGCCACCGCTCCGCTCGCGCCCTGCCTGCCTGCCTGCCTGCCTGCCTGCCTGTCAGTTGCACAAGGTTGCAAAACGCAGCGCATACAGTAAATTCGGATACTTAGCGCGAGCCTAACAGCTCCTTGGTTAGAAAACCGAGTCGCATACTCCTTGGAAAGCCACGCTTATACGACTGGTTTCGGCTTTTTCTATGGAAGGAAATGAGTTTGAGGAGACAGGGCGAGATGGGAGGCTCCGCAGTCTTTATGCTTCGGCTTAATCATATTTTGGCAGCTTTGCAATTGTATTTCCCCCTTCTCCCCCCTGCACCACTTCGCCTACCACACCACACATGTAATAAAACATGGCAATGCAATGAATTGACTCTGCCCCCCCTTCCCGAAACCCCTTAAACCACAGTCCTAGGCATTCCACACACGTTAGCAAACCGATTTTTTGAAAAAACCCCAAGTCATCCCCAACCCCACACAGCACAAGGAGAAAAGTGAGAAAGGAGAGAGAGAGAAGAAAGAAAAAATACTGTAAGTAAACATACCAAAACCATATTTGCCTTGTTCAAGGTCCCAAACCGCTTGCATCTTCCTTCTAAACTGGAAGAACTCTCCTTTAGTTTGGCGAGTGAAATAAATGCTTTGTTGGCCCCCTGAAAAGATGTGTCTTTGATAATTAAAGAGAATCGCTTCCTCGGTGTTTATCTAAGCGATTGTGCAAACTGATAAAAAGTAGGCACTAGCCTGCAGGGAAAAAGAGGAAAGGTGAAGGGAGAGCTCTTCCACCTCCAGGAAGTGCTTCCCCATGTACCAGGCGCTAGCTCGCAGCCTTGGAAAACCCTGCGTGCTAACTTTAGAGAGACAAGGTTTCAGGGAGCTCTCTACTTAGCTGCAGAGGAATGCAAGCCTCGCCTTTAAGAAAAAAATCCCCAAACCGTAGGTAGGAGATGTCGGGAGTGATCCTTGTCTCTCATCTCATTCCTTAGAAGGAAGAGTGCGTTGTTACACCTTGTTTGGGGCTGGAAAGACGAGACTTTAAAAACACCCGTCCAATTGAAAAAAATCTCCCAACTTAATGAGTTTAGTCGGAGGTTGGAGCAACCGGCTCAGCCTCAACAGAAAATCGCCAACTACGGGAGATGTGGCAGAGCAAGACCGAGGCACAGCCAAATTCCACTGTTTGGGGTCGGGAGGGATGGAGACTAATCCTAAAGCAAGTTGGAAAAAAACAGAGGTGGGAGAGGAGGGGATACAGCAGCAGCCTCGCAGACTGGCAGGCAGGCTTCCCTCGCCCTGGAGCACAGATAGAACTTGAAACAGGAGGACAACAATATTTTCCTAAGAATCTGATGGATCTTCAGTGTCTACTTTTAACACAAGGCCCCCCAGCTGAGTCCCCCCCCCAGCCCGTCTCCCCTGTGGATTGTGCCTCTCCCCCTTTCCCGTCCCTAGTCTAGAACTTTCCTGAAGAGGAACTCTATGTCTTGGGGGGAGGGGTTACCCTCTTCATGCCTCTATGGCAGGAATACTCAGCTCACCCCTCTTTTCATTCTCTCCCCACAACAAATAAAGAGAGTATGACTACAGTCCACTGGCGAAGATTGGGGATAAACTGCACTGCCTCCCACACTTTGAATATGGTTTTAAGTCATGGAGTATTTCTTTGGGAGGGGTGGAGATTGTTTTGTTTTAAGAGGAAGAATAATAGGGAAACATGGATCTTTCATTTTAGGAGCCTGTTATGGGAAGATGTATGTCAGACTTGACAAATGGAACTAACGCTCTTCGGCTGCTTCTTGTCCTTGTCTTAAACAGGAATTAAGTTAAACACAGTGCTGAATGTTAATTACATGTTTACTGGCTAATGAAAATTACAAATGGTTTTGCCACCTCAAACAATGATGAAAACTCTGAAGACACTGTAATTATATACTTTGAGGGAAATAACTCAGAATATTGATCATAAGAAGTGTAAATCTTTTTTTAACTATTCATTAATACCATAACTATGGGCTGCACAAGTTCCTCCTTGCGGTTCGTCTCATCAGTGATAGGAGCGGGTGGAGGGTGAGGCTCCTGGGAGGATGAACGCATTCTTTGGTGGAAGGAGGCCACTTGTGTAACTCAGGGGTGCCCCTCCCTTGCGCCCCGCCCCTTCAACCCCAGCGAAGGTCGGGCGCTGGGTGAGCCCGGAGGCCCACTGGGGGCTGGTGAAGGTGATCTTCACCTTGGGGCCTGTCCCTCCTTCCCCTCCCCTCCCCTTTTCTCTCCTCCTCTCCCTCCTCCCTCTCTTGCCAGGTCTGCTGTAGGACCACCTTCCAAGCTCGGACTCCGGGCCCACAAGCTGGCATTCTGGAGTCCTGAAGGGGAGGGGGGAGCTTTAGTGTCTGCAACTCACCTCAGCCCAGCACCGACACCTGACAGTTAGAAGCCCTCCTTTAGTCGGAGGTGGCTAGGGCAGCTCCTGGCCAAGAAGGAGGGGAGTGGGCATGGAGGTAGCTATTGGGTAAGGTGGCTCTGGTCACTGAACCAGAACTGGATTCCTCCGGCCTGAGAAGTGGAGAATTGCTTTTCTTTCTTTCTTTTTCTCCTTCTTTCTTTTTTGATTGTTGTTGTTGTCATTTTCTTTTAACTTTGGCCAGGGTTGGTGACCACTCGGATCGTGGGAGGTCAAGGGTGAGGGCTGCACCAACCGTAAAAGGTTGGCCTGGCCAGGCCGAAAAAGCCAATTGGCCAGGGCAGTGGGAACTGGTCAGCCACGCTGGCTCTGCCGAGGAGGCAATGGGGAAACCCACCCGAGCCTGGGTGCTGGAAGGGGTGCAGGACTCAGTGCAGGGTTTAAATGGAATATTCACGATTTTTTAAGTGCCCTAGGCTCATGGGACTGGAGTTCTCTTTCCCCCATGAGAATTCCCAAGGAACTGGGCTTTGTCTCAGGAGGAATGGAGTTTCTGAATGGTGTGAAAGGGACAGAGAGGGTCGCTTCCAATCGATTTTCCCTGTCCTTTCTGTCTTTTCGGATCAACGCCTTTCAATGGACGCAGAGGTGCTCTTTCAACCAAAAACTTGTGCTACATTTTCTGCCTGTATTGGCGCTAAATACAATAAGCATTGGGTAGATTTTTTTTTCTTCTTTGCTCTCTACAGCAAGAAAGCACCCTAATTAAATTGTTTTATGTGGACAGTCAAGACGGACCAATTAAGTATGCATTAGTATAAAGACAGAGTCTGCAGATAAGGCAGTGGACAGAACCCAGGGCAGGACAAAGAAGAGGCCGCCAGCGTCTGGGAGGGGCTGTGGACCTAGCAAGGTCGGGCACCCTCCTTTGGGGGCTCAGAGGGGTTGCAAAGGCTTGGCACCAGGTAAAAGAAGCACGAGCCGGCTAACAGGTGGGTGGTGGGGCTGGAGACCTTGTGGCCTGGAACCGTTGTCCAAGAGCCACGGGACCCAAGGGACTCTTGTCCCTCACCTTCCTCTCTGGCAGCTGAACCGGCCCAGGTGGATGGGTCATCGGACATCCCGGGAAGGGTCGGGGCGCCCCGCCCTACACCTTGCCCGTTTCCCGGAGACCCAGGTCTCGGGTGTGGCCCTGCAATGCTGAATCCGTGGGAGCCCAGTGGAGGCCAGTAAGGCCGGGGGCGCAGGCGGTGGCACCAGTCAACCTCGGGGCTGAAGAAGGCCTTCTCAATGTCTCTAGGCTCAGCGCGTTCCTGAAGCTTAGGCAAGGGGCTCCACACTGCCAGGAAAGTGAAAGTTGGCCCTGGACGCCCTGGGAATGGAGGGGCGTGGAGGCCCGACGCGGCCGGAGCAGGGCGAAGCCGGAGAGCGTGGAGGAAAGCTAGCGAGCAGAGGACCTACTGGGCCAGCGAGGCGACCCTGGGCTTCTTCATTCGCTCTCCGCCCTCCGCCCTTGGAGCAGCTCGCCCCAGAGGAGGTGACCCCCGGAGCAGGGACTAGGGCCTCCCTGCGCCACCGCGCGCGCCGTGATGCGTGGTCCCCTGGCTGTAGCGCCGTAGGGGCGGCGGGCCCGGCTCGCGGGGCGCACGGGGCGCCCTCGGAAGCGGGGGAGAGGGGGCGAGAAGGAGAGCCTGGGGGAAGCGGCTGAATGTCAAAAGCAAAAAGGTGGAAAAGCCGATTTTCCAGGCGCGCTTTTGCCCCCTCCCTCGCTGCTGGCCGAGGCTGTAAATCAGCGGCCGGCCACGAGGGCGGGAGCAGCCCCTCGGCGGCCCGGTGCGGCCCCGCCCGGCCCGAGCGCACCTCCCGGCGGGCCCCGAATCGATCCGCAGCCTAGCTGAGGATGCGCCGCACTAAATATTTACTGATCACACACAAATAGCCGGGGCTCCAACGATTTTCCTCTGTGAGGAGAGCGCGGAGAGAAGGGTAAATCATTTTATTAGTGTGGATAAAGCCCAGAGCACACTCCGGCCTGGAGTGTTTTAAGATGTGTCTTCAACGGGATGAAAAGAGTTAGGGAAATCGATACGGAGTGATTAGAAGCCCCCGGGGTGACCAAGGGGGACGGGGCTTTCAAGGATTTGGCGAGGCTGCCAGGGAGGGGAGTGAGCCTCCCGGGGGGCTGCCCGACCACCTCCAGGGAACTCCCCCAGCGCAGGCCCGCGTCCAGTCTGCTCGACGGGAGACGTGAGGGCGCAGCCGGCGGCTGGCTGGGCTGCAACCCAGCCCGGGCCCGCCGCGCCGGCGCCGAATGAGGGCCAGCCGGCCGCCGCGCGGTCCGGAGCTGGGGACTCGGGGCTAGGAGCCGCGCGGGCTCCACGCCGCGAGGCATAGTGGCCAGATGGCTTCAGGAGCTGATGACAGGTGCGGCGCGCCCACGAGGTCACGTCCGTCGCACGCGATCTCTCCGGGCTGTGTCCAGGAGGAGAGGTGTGGCCCAAACCTTCAGCTTGCAACTGCAACTTCGGGGGCTGTCCTGCCTACCTCCACTCCCCAGCTTTCTCCCCGACAGCCCTCTGGCCCTCCGTTCTTTTAATATTTTCGGGGAGGACCTGGTGATCCACCCAGGCTCGCCGACATTCCTTCCCACACACCCGGCGTCGAGGGAGGCCGACGGGTGGCGGAACCCATGGGATACGGCAGGACACTGGAGCGGCTCAGGGCAAGTGGGACGGACGAAGCCCGAAGACAAGGTGGAGGAAGGCCGGAGGCAGGGAGACCTGCAGGGACTCCCGGGACGCCCCGAGCTCTGCAGGGCGAGAAATCAGCCTTGGGGAGGGGCGGGCAGGAGGTCACATCCGGAGATGCAGCCGTGGCTGGGGCCCCCGGGCTGCTGCAGAGACCCCAAGCGGTGTAGGCTTCCAGGCTGGGGGGACTGAACAAGGTTGCGGACATTGCTGGGAGGACATCCGAGCAGCCGGGTCGTGGCGCTCAAGTGGCTTTGCACTTGTCAAGACTAGAGTCTCGCTCGCTAGCTAAGGTGCACAACCCCTCAGGTTCAAAGATGCTGCAGAAAATCAAGTGGGCACTATTGCGGGCAGAGGCGGGGTGCAAGGTGAGGAGAGATGAGAAGCGCCTTCGTTTCTTCTGGCTTTGTGGGCTCCTGATCTGTGGACGCTTCTTGCCCACCTCCTCTCTTCCCTAGCTACCTACAAGTATGTAGGAACGCGTGTGTCTGCAGGAAGCTCGGACTCCTCCTCCGTTTTCTGGGCAGCTTGAGGGACTCTGGTCTTCTCTGCCCTGCTTTTCGGTACAACAGGAAATAAAGCTGAGGATGCAAGTAAACATTTTCCAGAACGGAGAGTTATTATTATTATTATTATTATTAATATTCCCAGAGGATCGGAGCGATGCGTCCAGGTGTGAGGGGCTCGAATTCCTTTCTTGCTAATCCTCTCATTCCTGCCTTAGGAGTGACCAGCGTCGCAGACCTGACGGTGTCAGGAGCTGGGTCTCCATTAACCCTTGTGGGTCTTGGCCAGAGCGAAGGTTAACTACACTAATCTACCAAAAGGGACTGCAGCAAACACGGAGCAAACAAGGAAGGAAGGGAAGGAGAGAGACAGGGGAGAAGCCAAAAGGAAGGGCCGCGTCAGTGCATCCCAATTGCAAAGGTTTTGGATAAGCTCAGGCATCCTCTGAAAGGGCTTTCAAGCACAGCAGTCTCACCCAGCCCCACGCAGGCTCCTTGCAAATGG